CTCTCTCTCTCTCTCTCTCAAAATAAGTAAATCAACTTAAAAAAGAAAAAAAGAACTGCCTGCTCTTTCAGTTCCAGAATCTCTTATTGTTCGAGGTCAAGGCACTGAACGCATCTTGGAGGGCAAGGGCTGTTTCTGCAAACAGTCCCACCTACACGGAGGGACCTCAATGGCAGGAAATAGTCAGACTGTTTAATATGGAAGCAAACTACTAGATAGGCTCTGGAGTCTCGATTCTGCCACTGAGCTATGGTGTGGCCTTATCTGGAAAGTGGAGAGGACAGCAGTGTCTCCCTCAAAGGATGGCTCACTGGCCTGAGAGGTGGTACAGCTAGAATTCCCGGGTGTGGCTTCTAAAGCCGAGGTGCCTGCGTCCACACTCTGGCTCTGCCATGTACCGTGTGGTTTTGGTCTCCGCCTCAACGTCCAGCCCACAAGTCCAGGGAGAGTCGTGGTATCGATCTCCCGGGGAGGTAGTGAAGGTTAACGCAGCCGGCGCGTGGACCGTGCTGACAGCGGCACCTGGCGCACAGCGAGCGCTCGCGGGCATTGCCGCGACCATCGCGATCCACACAGCTTTGAGTCAGCAGCAATCTAATTTGGGGCTCAGAAATTCGGACCCTCCGTGTGTGCCCCAGGTGTGAACGCTTTGGTGGTTATGAAATCCGTTTCTTCGTTAACCTTCTTCTCCCCAGTAGAAAAGTTTCACTGATGTTACATATGGATGTATGGCCATGTTTTTAATCCCCTGGGATTCAATACAAGTATTTGCATCTTGATGTTAAAAAAAAAAAGTCGGGGGTGGGGGGGGAACACACCTGGGTGCTTCAGTCGGTTAAGAGTCTGATTCTCGATCTCGGCTCAGGTCACGATCTCACGGTTCGAGAGTTCAAGCCCTGCATCAGCTTGGGACTCTGTCTCTTTCCCTCTCTGTCTGCCCCCCCCACCCTCACTTTCTCTCTCAAAATAAATTCATTAACTTAAAAATATATATACATTGGGGCCTATAAAGATCTCAATTGGTCTGTAGTGGCTGAGTGGTAGGTTTCTCCTCACTGGCCTGTGCTGATCAGACCCCACCCAGGGGCCGAGACCCTCTCTGGCCCAAGACCCTCACCCCTCCGGGACGCTGCAGGCTGGAGAAGTGCACATTAGGGATGAACAGCACCGGTGGGGTCTCCAGGTCAGCCTCAGGCCGCAAGTAGGTGGTCTCATTGCCCCTGAAGCCAGACAGCAGGCAGCCCTTCATACCTGCTGGGAAAAGGAAGGCACTGCGTCCGAGGCCCCTCTCTTCACGTCCCAAGCCTCTGCCCTCCAGTCTCCTTCTCCCCTTCACCCCAGGCCAGCCCAGCCCCTGACTCATCCCCACTGACCGCTGTTGCTGGAGTCGGGGCACTTGACCTTCCTCCGGAACTGCTTTCGTTCATCATCCCGCATTTTCCTTTCTGCTCCCTGCCGGGAAGAGGGCAAAGGGGGTCACCCAGGGCCTTGGGAGGGGCTGGCTGCTTTGCATCTTAAATCTGGACCAGCCATCCAGTGCTGCTTTCTTTCCAAAGTGAGACCGGGAGATGGGAAAGCACCAGCTCCCAACCTATGCGGCCCGGCCCAGCCTTGTCTGAGGCCAGTACAGGCGACAAGAGAGAAACAGATGTGGAGAGAGAGGAACAGAGAGAGAAACAGAGGAGAGGGAAGTGGAGTCAGAGAGGGATGCGAAGAAGAAAGAGAAACATGAGAGAGACAGACACAGAAAGAGACATGGAGAGATGCTGAGGTCTAGAAAGAGATCTTCAGAAAGAGACAGAGATGAGAGACAGAAGCGCAGAGAGACCGGGAAAAATGCGCACAGGGGCCAAGGCAGACAGTGACGAGCACACAGAGGAGAGAGGTGTTTGGAGAGCAAGAAGCAGAGACAGACCACAGACCGACACACCCGCGCGGCTGGGGAGGACTCGAGGGTGGGGGCTGGCCCTCCTCCCTGCCGGGGCCCAGCAGAGGGCCCGTCCACCCCAGCCACCTTGTCACAGAAGATCTTGATCTGGCAGACGGCGCGGTGCACCAGGCGCTCAGCGCCCGAGCCACAGTCGTAGGTGTCGATCTGCAGGTTCAGGGGGACGCCCTTCACCCCCTTCTGCGAGGAGAAGTCTGTGCTGAGGCAGTTGACACCGATGAACACCTGGGGACACACAGGGGAGCTGGATAAACAGCCTGCGCCGGCGGCCAGCCCTGCCGTCCCAAAACCGCCCTGCATATCGAGCCTGGGAAACGGCGCCCCTGGAAGGCGCCTGTCACCACCTCTTTTACAGATGGACAGACTTGTGCCCAGGGCAGCGTGCCAGCTTTCCCCAGGGGACACAGGGGGTGCACGGAGCACCTAGTGGGCCTGGCACGCAGTGGCCTGTCATGGGGAGTGGGACGGCTGGGGTCTCAACCCAAAGCCTCCGCCCAACTCTGACGGCAGTCTGGGGTGAGTCTCAGCTGGGCACTCCCTGCCAAGCTCGCCTGACGACTGTCTGCCTGACCGACTCCTCCGTGGGGCGCCAGGGCCAGACCCCACTCCAGACTGGCCGCTGTTCTCTGGGACATTTCCCTCGGAAGTGGTCCTGACCTGCACAGGTAGGGCTGGGGTGCGGTGGGGCCAGGCCCCCGGGCGGGCGCATGCCTGACATACCTCCCCCTCAGCCAACTCAGCCCTAATGCAGCTCCCACCCAGCTCACACCTGAGAGAGACCCAAGCCTGGGGGCTTAAGAGGCTGTGAGAAAATCCCAACCGAAACCCTCCTCTCCCTTCCTACGAAACTCTTTCCCCGCCTCCCCGAACTGGAGGCCCCAGTCCCTCCTCTGGCCCCTGGCATCTGTTTGAATAATAATAATCCCTCACGTTTGTGCCTCCTTTTGTGTTTTCGGAGCCCCTTGAGCTCCGTTTCCTCCCGGCGGCCTGGACCGCTCCATGAGGCAAGCCGGGAGACAGGACCCAGCTCCCCCGCTTGTCTAGGCCAGAAATGTTTTTGCCAGGGCTGACTCAACCGTGGAATGATAGGGCAGGCCTGGCCCAAGGAGGCAAAGGGACCCAGTCCCTGAATGTCACCCAGTCCCTGAATGTCAGACTAGTGCCCTGTCCACGGTGCCGGCTCTCCAAACAGAAAACCAGGGCACAGAGAGGCCCGGAAGCACATGGAAAGTTGGCCTTAGGCACCAAATGGCTGGTATGAAAGAGTCACCAGAGGCTCCATTTTCAGGCCTCTCCAGTGGGTCTGGCGCCGGGCCCATCTCTTAGACACGCATGATCCCATGGAATAAATCCCCACCCCGGCCCCAGGAGGTGGACTCCTATCCCTCCTTACGGATGCGGGAAGCCACGTAACAGATCTCAGCCTCATCTACCAGACTCCAAAGCATTTCTCCTGCCACACTGACGGCCTGCAAGTCAGGGAAGCTGGTGTCCTCGGTGGCTTGCCGTGTGACCTTGCACGAGGCTCAGTTCTCCCATCTGGAGAGTGGGTGGATGGGATTCGTAACGGCAGCCACCGCTTGGGTGTCAGACTGTGCTCTACTTCCGCTAATCTCCCGTGATCCTCCCGTCAGCCTCTCAGTGGGTGCTACAACTGCATCCCAGTTTGATGGCCGAGGCGCCGGTCTGAGGTCACGGAGCTGGAGGCAGGCCTAGCCCTTCTGGCTTTAGAGCCAGTGCTGTGTGCCCTGCCTCCTCCGTAGGCGCCCTCATCAGAGCGGCTGCCACAATCCCAGGTGCCCACCTGGGGACTTGTGAGTGACCAGCCCCATCACAGCCACACACTGACCTTGGCCTCCTCGTTGACATTCCACACGAAGGACAATGCGTTATAGGCCACCTCCTCGATGTGCTGCACGGTGTTGAAGTTTTCTTTGCAGTCGGCTGAAACCACAGGAGACCAGGAGAGTCAGGAGGAAAGGGGTTTGGGGACGTGGTGGGGAGGTGTTTGTACTGTCTTCCCCAAGAACCATCCCTCAATTGGGGTGGGGGGGGGGCAGGGGCAG